GAGCTGCTGGATCACAGCTTCTACTTCTTCAATCCAGAGGGAAGGGGCTATCTGGGAACTTACCTGAGGTTCACAGCCCTGTCCCCAGAGTGTGTTCTCAAAAAATGTGACATTCACACTGCTCTAAGACCTTCCGGCTTATTCCCCAGCCCCTGCAGGAAGCCTCTCAGGCCTGGCCCAAAGCCCACCAAGCTTCTCTTCTGACTACAGATTTGTGCAAGTCAGATATTGAAGCAGTTGGCCCCTCTGAGGGCAGGGTTTGGCTTTTCTTTTCACTTTTTCCCTGCAGGGCTGAAGAGAGGATTCCTGTTGGGAAGTGGGGGCACTCAGTCTTCTGCATGGGGTTAGATTTACTGGGCTATCCTTCTTCCTTGTCTCATGAATATCCCAGTATGGATGCCCCCACACTCCACACTATTCCCAGCAGCACATGATGGGAGCCTGAAGTCAAGGGGGCCAAGGCTGAGCCAAGCTGTCCCTAGTGAACCTGCAAGAGGAAGATGGGCTGTGTGCTTGTGGTTGGAGGGGTCCTTTGCAGCCACCAGGACCATGAGCACAGGCAAGGGAGGTGCCAGAGCAGGGCAGACAGAATGAAGGACAGAGCACGGAGAGACAGAGGATTTGGGGGAAAAGAGGGAGGAAAGATGGAAAAGGAACAGGGTGAGATGGAAGTAGAGAGTTGGAAAGGGAACATGGAGAGAGAGGGGGAGGAGAGAGAAAAAGAAAGGAGAGGAGGAGGAAGAAGAAAAAGAGGAGGGAAAAAACACAAGAGGAAAAAAAAAAGAAAGACAGAAGGTGACAAGAGAGAGTCACACACAGAATAACACAGCAGTCTGTGTGGTATGGGGAGGTGACAGGAAAGCGGAGTTTGAGTGCCCTGCCCTCCAACAAACCAAGATGGGCTAACCCACTTCTTTTTTCCCTGCAGACAGGGATACTGAGGCCCAGGAAAGAGGTGAGACTTGCCCCAGGTTATATTATATATGGACGTTTAGAGTTATTTTTTTAGCTGTCCAGGATTTGAACCTGGACTTAGGGAACCCTGGGGGAGACAATGGTCACCTTTCACTACAGAGCGAAAATGCCAGACCTTCATCTTCCCTTGGCTCCCTTGCAGTCAGAGTTTGAGCAAGTGACCCAGAGCTCCCATCCACCCACCTACCCATCAGATACACCTGTCAGAGGGAGTCAGTGAAATGGGGTCTTCAAAATGGAGACAAGAGGGGGGGTCTCTCCAGGATGGCTGCAGTAAGCTCAAGAGCCAGGGCACCAATGGCAGAGGACTGGGGCCCAACTCATCATCAGGGTTGGTGGTATTGGGTCACTCAGGGAAAGCAGGTGTCCCCTCACTGGGCCAGTTCTGTCTTGTGTTCCTGGCTAAGGGAAATCTGGTTCTCTGAGCCACCCAGTTTATCCCACAAGCTCCCCAATATGCTTTTAACAGAGCCCTTCTGTGCTTAACTTTGGGCTGAGCTGCTTTCTGAGAGTCAGCAGAGCCTGGGCTTGGATCCTTGTTCTGTTACAGTTAAAGCACTTCATGTCTCCATGCCTCAGGTCCCCCATAATGTATAGGAGTCTAATCCTCCATTGTTGAGGAGTGTAAGGATTAACTGAGTTGGACAATAGTATAGACACGTGTAGAGAACAGTGGAGGGGACCCAAAGACACTGATCTGATTCTTCCATGGGCTAGCATGTATGTTTGACCTTATATGAGTCTTTTTCTTCTCTTGGCCATTGCTACATTTGGAAATAGCCTCTCAGTGAGACTATCAAGGCTCTAACATTTGTTCCCACACATCTGGAGAGCTACAAGATGCCTTACCTCTATCCTGGCACTCTCCTTGACTCTTCTCCACCCAGCCAACTGCTTCCTGGACATCTTTCTGCTCAGGTGTCCCTCCAATGTCTCAGAGCCAGCACAGTGAAGATGCTCAGTTTTCTGTGTGCCTGGTACCATTCCTGGTACCTCTCCCTCTCCCTTTCTTGTTAATTCCAATGCCCAGTGGCCTGCATTAAAGCCCACTCTGTTTCTGTAGCTTCTGCTCCACCTGAGCTGCTCCTGTTGCTCCCTTACCACTTCTCTCCCTCTTGAGCACTGAGGTGCCCAAAGCGAACTCCTCTGCTCATAAGCTCTCCTAGACCACCTTCTGCACTGACGTTGAAGCCTTCTGCAGTGCTGTGTACCATCTGCCTTCTGTGCCCCTTGCTGGTCTCATCTGTTTTTCTCCTATTTCCTGTGCCCAACACTCCCTGGTCCCCAAGCCAAAGCACAGCCCCATCTCTGGGCCGCTGCTCACTCTTCCCCTACCTGGAATGCCTCTCCTCTGCCTATTATACATTCGCCTGCCAAATCCAGCCAGCCACAAAAGTACAGCTCAGAAGGCTAAGTCCTCACTGATGCTCTCAGTTGGCTGAAGGCATGAGTCTTTCCTCTGTCCCTTAGGCTCTTCTTGCAAATGAATGTATCAGTTCTGGAGACACTGTTGCCATGGGGTTAAGAGCAAGGGCTATTGACTCTTGGCTTGCACTGGTGCATAAGGCTGGTCACAACCTTGTATAAGTTACTCCCTGCCTCTGAGCCTCGGCGTTCTGGTCAACAGCCTGGGCCTCAAAGCCCTGTGTCTCAGGGGAAGTGGGCAGGAGTGAGAGTGTGGGTGCAAAGCTCAGCTTGACAACAATCAGCACTTGGCAGTTTTGTGGCAGGTTCTCTGTGCTCAGCTGAGTTAAAAGATGGCAGGGACCTCTGTGTGAGCAGCTGCCCCACTGGCAACTCCCACCCTATAAGGAGCTAGGCTTGGGGGCAGAGTCAGCTGTGACATAAGATTGGGGCAAGAAGAGTCCAGACTCTTCCCCCAGGCACCTCACAGGTGTGCTTTTCTTCCGGTGTCCTTTCTAAAGGAAGGATCCCATTGAAAAAGCAAAAAGAGAAAGAGGAAGCAGTAGCCGGCTGGCCAGAGGTAGGAGGAAAATCAATCAGGCGTTTCCATCGCCATTAGCTACTTCAGCTCTTTCCACCTGGGCTGACCATCTGCGCCCTCCCGGCCCCAAGTACAACTTTAATAGCAATGTCCCTCTCCCAGCCTCTCTTATTCCCCAGGAGTCACAGTGCAGGCGGCACTTTGGTCCAAATGATGAAAACTGTTCATTACACACCAGGGGCTAATTGCCACCACACTTACCAATCTCCATGACATGCCAACCTTCTTTCAGTGTCTCACTTGACTTGATGTGAGTGAGTGGTCTGGAATGTGCAGTCCCTGCCCCCTCCCCATTTCCATGCTCTCCTCCATCGGAACATTTATCACTGTATTCATTTTGCCTGCTGCAATCGTGAGCGAGAGCTCAGTACAGCGCTGATGCCGTGGCTGGTACATAGTAGGTATTCAATAAATTGGTTGTATACTACTGTGCTAGCTCCCCTCTGAAGCAAAGACCCATGCCCACCCTGGGGGAGGGCCAGGGTGTTCAAGGCTGGTTGGGAAGAACAGGACATAACTCAGGCTGTAAGGAAAGAAGAGGGAGAGTTCCTTCAAGCTGTGAGTTGAGAAGCTTCATCAACCCACTTGGCCCTGGATGCCCTTAGTTTCTGGGCCCAGTCTGAATCAGGCCCACTGATCTCCATTCCCTCCTCCACAGAGCTCACAGAATCCTGAAAAGACAGTTTTACAATGTCAGGATTAGGAGAGAGCAGGAAGTCATTCCTTCTCTGGCACAGCTTCTGGGTCGGGGACCTCCCTTTCTTCCAGGGAAATGGGTGGGTAGGGGCATATTCTCACCAGGGGCAGAGGCCTTCCTCGGCAGTCCCACTACTCCACAAGCCCCTTCCTTCCACTAGAAGCACTTTGCCCTGGATTCCTCAAAGCTTGGCTGCTCCCTGGGCCACCAGAGCCTGAGGTTGGTGCTGCCAGGGGACTACACCTAGCATCAGATACAGGTTCTGCTCGCTTGCCTTCTAACGTTTTTCACCACAAAGGTCTCACCCTCCCAGAATTGGACAGGCACACGTGCATGCAAGTGTATGAGTGCTAATGGAGGAGCTAGGCCACCACTTAGAAAAGGCTTTCTAGGATGTCTTCAGAATGAGGGGCTTTAGATAAACAGCCTGCCTGTATAGTCTCAGGGTGTTCTGCTGCTGAGGTAGGACTGGAGAGATGAAGGGTGTTCAGGGTGGGCCAGCCATTGCTGCACCCACAGCCTCACACAGATCTCACATTTGGCTCCCATTAGGCCTATCAAGCATTGACAAGGGCACACTCACACCCCCCCTAGAACCAGAGCCCTGACTGAACCACCTCAGCTGGAGGCTGTGTAACCGCAGCACCTCCGATACCCTCTCCCCACAGTGTCCACCTAGCCTAAGATTTGCCAGAAGGAAGGAGGACACAGGCTGTTCTCCCTTGAGGGGACAGAGTGGGAGGGGGGGTGATTCAGACACTGGAAGACCTAGGGGTGTTATGACAGAAGTGACACCCCATACCCTTCTGTTCCCCAGTGCCTGTGCCCTGCTCTCCCTCCACATGTAAGCGTTCACCCCATTTTCTTGCGTCCTAACCTTTCTCTTTTCCAGTAGTAAAGGGTCTGATCACCACATTCACCTTAGAGCGCAGGGTTGGAAACTTAGCATATAGATAATACATATCTCCCTTCGGGATGGTGGGCGGGGGGAGCATGATAAAAACTTCAGGCACCCGGGGCAAATAGTGTAGGAGAGAGAGGTTCCTTTGCTCCCCCAAAGAGGGAAGTATTTCATTCTCTCCTTTTTTCTTCTCTTCCTGCGCAGAACGCAGGAATTGTGGGCAAATTCCTGAGCTACTGAGGGTAGGGTCAGTAGGCACGCCCCCGACATTTAAGGAGTCCTTAAGGACAGTGGTATATTGGGATCACAGCCCTTACTTAGCAGGTCTCCGACGCAGGTTCCAAAACCCTCACCACTTCCCTAACCGCCTTTCCTGGGAGGCCGGCGCAGAGCCCGCAGCCAAAGGGTCGAGAGACACTCACGGGTCGTGTTGTACTTGATGCCGTTGAAGTACTCCGGGCACGGTCTCTCCACGAGGGCTCCAGCCGCGCTCTGGGGCCAGCACGTCCCGATCTGGTCCAAAGTCGTGTTGCAGTAGGAGTAGGGACCTGGCGGCGGGACAGAGCCGAGCGAAACTCAGAGGGGTCGCCAAGGGCGCGGTGTGCCACTGGACACAGGGCGCCGGGCGCTGGGCGCTCGGAGCGCGGGGGGCCCTAGGCGCACCAAGCGCGCCGGGAAGGGAGCTCGCGTTGCCTCCATCTGCTGCCTCCCGCTTACCCTCGGGGTCCAGGAGCGGCCCCCAGCTGTCCAGGAGCAGCTCTTCAGCCATCGCCAGGCTGCAGTTGGCCTCCAGAAGGCTGTGGAGCAGTACCGCGTCCATTGAGCCCAGGAGCCGTGCGCGGAGAGGGAGTGGGAGTGCGCGCCCGGTGTGGCTGCGAGGAAGCGGGTGCGAGGGAGAGCGGCCAAGAGAGCACAGGGTCCTGGCCCCTGCCTGCCTAGCCCTGACCTACCGGGCAGCCTCCCCGAGCTGCGCTCGACTGCCAGGAGCTGCCAAGCTGGGACCTTCCCAGAAAGGAGCTGCTGAGCGCACTGAGCTGAGGGTCCACCCGCGTCACCGCGACCAATAGCGGCGCCAGGGGGCGGGGCGGGCAGCTCCTCTGGGCCGGGCTCTGCGTCCAGTTTCGCTGCTAGCCCCACACAGCCCAGAGTTCTCTTTCTCAGGTCCCTGTTCTTTTCCACTCCAGAGGGCAGAGGGACTCACGAGCTTGGTTCTGGGGTGGCGGAATGCCCTGTCCAACGACCTCATGCCCATGTGCTGCAGGGTCCGCAAAGTGTGACTGCACAGAAAACCCACTGCGGCCTCCCTCACCAAGGGACAGGTGCCAACCTAAGTTTGGTGGCTCTCTACTTGTGTCTTTTCTCCCTAAGGAAGGACACTGGAGGCATGGTGGAGGGACGGGGGAAAGGAGGCAGTCCACATGCTGATTTGCACACTGGAAAAGGTTCTTAGTCTCTGGGAAGGAAATGGATTGGAGTGGCCTGAAGGGTAGCAAAGGGGCCTCGGTAGAGAAAGTCTAGTGAGACTCAGTGGCTGGAATGGGTGCAGACTTGCGCAGGGTTGTGGGAGCTGGGATGGAGAGATATTTCCCAGCGAGAACTCAACCTGGTGAGAGACTGGAGAGGGGAGTGTGGCCTCTGGTGTGGGTGGCTTTCAACAGGAGCCAGGAACAGCAACAGGTCTCCCACTTGGGTGACTGAAGGGAAAATACTGCCATTTAATGAGATGGGGGAAGTCTAGGGGAGAAATTGGTTGAACTTATCTGGAAGACATCAAACATCTTCATTCCAGAAATTATCTGGAATATTTCAAACACCATGGAATTAAGCTAGAGGTGAAAATGTGTCTAACTTCCTCCTGGCTTGAATAGGGCCACCTGAGTGGTTGTTCAGCCAGGAGAGGGGCAAAAATCAGGGGGAACTAAAACCATCTATAGGGAATTTGCCCAGGCCTCTCTAGAACTGCTTGCCTGCTGGTTTGTTGCACCTGAACAGAGTGCTCAAGGTGGGCCTGCCACTCGTGCCTGCTACCAGGATTCAGGTTCAGGAAACTCAGCCCCTGGTGTGGCATGCTCCAAGACAGACCGGTATTGCCCTCATCTCATCTCCTTGCCAGGTTACCCCAGGCAGGAGTCTTGCAGTCTTCTGAGGCTTTCTCCACGGAAATATGTTCTCTGAGGGCCCTCCCAGCCTTGAGAATGTATGGTTTTGGAGGCCCCAGGACTCAGGCATATCCCCCCTGCTGCCCCCACTGGGAACTGAAGGTGCCAGAGAAGGTGGAAACCACTTTGAACGAGTCCTGTTCCCTGAGCAGGGAGAGGCAGCTAGCAGGCCAGGGTCTCTGTGTGCTCCAATCTCACCAGTTTCCATATTAATGCTGCTGTCACTGCTCAGGCAGAGAGAGCAAGTGAGAGAGTGAGCGAGCAGTGAGGCCAGGGCTGAACCTGGAGTCTCTCCAGGGCCTGCCAACTGGCAGAGACAAGGTGCAGAGCAGCCTTCCAGGTCTGACTTCTGCCTACTGAATGGAGAGTTAACATACTGGCTCAGCTCTGGGCAGAGGTAGAGGCAAAGGTCCATTGATCTCTCAATAAGAAGCTGTGCTGTGGTAGGGCAACTGAGGTTAAGTCCTGATCTTGACCCTAGCCCTAGGCAGAGTCTTCTCTCCAGTTCCTGAGCTGACCATCCCCTCTCCCCACCCCTCAAGGGCCCACAGAGAGCAGAGCATGGTGGCTGGGTCAGCCCTTGTCTTCAGTGGGAAGCAGTCCCACACAGGAGTACCCTGCACACCATGTCACAGCAGGGGCAAGGGACAAATCAAGCCAAGTGTAGGTGGTTAACTTTGCTCATGTCCAGAGAAGCCCAGGGGCAACTTATCTCAGAGATGCTGAGAGGCCAAAGACGCCTCATTTCCCATGCAGATTTCTGTAGAACAGAGAGCTAGACTAGGAAGGCATATGTAACCAAGTTTCTTCTGGGGAGGTGACCATTTGAGTGGCAGGGCCAAAGGACAGTCAGTGCCTGAGCACATATCCATAGCCTCAAGGTCCCTAGGCTCCCAGGAGGTGGGATCCTTTCTTCATGGATCTTACTATTAGAGAGACAATTGTTATTCTAGATGTGACAGAGGAAAAACCAGAAAAAGTAGCAGCTTTGGAACAAAGTGATTTTACAATTCACTTCAGTGTTTGCAAATAGGTAAATGAAGAAGAAATTAGAAAGAGACAACCCTTTCCTCAATCAGATTAAACTTAACTATAATAAACAAAGCTGGGCTTTTTTGCTTGCTAAGGAAGCAAAAAGAATGAATGGGAGTCCCCTAGCCTGGAGGTGGGTTCCTGGGGCTTTCAGCTAGACCTGTTGTAGACCCAGGCCACAAATAGAGGAAGGAAGAAGTATTGGGAAATTTGTATGTCTTCACACAGCGAAGACAGGCATAGGTGGCACATAAATTCAAGGAAGTGCGACAGGTTCTGGAAAGAGCCCTGTGTGTCACAAACAGGCTGGGGTGAGGCAGGTGTTGCAGTCGCCCTGTGTCCCATGTCTGGGTCTGCATCTGATGTCAGCTACGGTGGTGGTGGACAGTTTCTGGCCAGCTTAGACACACATACTGCATGACTTCATACAAGTATCAAGTAGGCACGCAGAGCACAACAGAGGCACACACAGTGGCTATGTCTTCCATCTTGACTGAATCATGCACATTCTCTTTTACTTATCCCCCACTGTAAAAATGTTAGCTGGTAAACAAGGTTTATGAGATAGCATGTACCTTTGCTTCTCTGAGGAGCTGTCCTCTGTGAGACCTTGGAGACAAGGAACCTTCAGGAAGAGCTGGGACCAAGTTGTGGGGGTTCCTGGGAGTTACCCTGGAGCATGGAGGCTCAGGAAGTTTCCTGAAGGTGACTCTTTCTTTCCCTGTGAACTGAGGACTGTGCTTCAGGCTATACACATACTTCTACCCATACACTCCACCTCAGGACTGGAGGGGACGTGCTATCTTTATTCCCAACCATGGGACCAGGCTGTGGGACCAGGAAGGGCCCGCAGTGACCATCCTATCCCACATTTTCAATTTATAGATGGGCAATACTATGCCCAGAGAAAGAAAAGGAATTCCCTGTCCACTTCAGCAGGCCACACTTCTCTCTGCAGCAGCTCCCTGTCTCCTCCATGTGGCAGATGAGATCTTTTACAATTGTGATCATGTCATCTTTTATTCTCACAAGAGTGGCTCCCCACGGCCTTCAGGATGAAGCCCATGTCATTAGCAATGGAAAGAAGACTCGTCTCAATTGTCCCCCCAATCCTTGCTAAATGTGAGGTGTCCCCACAACACCTTGTCAATGCCTAGGATTGTGATGCACCTCTGTACCTTTGTATGTACTCAGCCCTCTTCCCTCTTCCCTGCATGTCCTACCAGTTCTGCACTTCCGCCAGTCTACTCACTCCTCATCCTTCAAGCATGCAGCTGCAGTCCCACCTCCTCCATCACAAGGGTGTTGGGTGGCCTTCCCTGGTGTCTGGATCTGAGGGAGATGGTGGTCTATGTCTCACCAGTTACTGCATTTTCCCTTGTCTCCTCTACCAATGCATGACTCTCCAAGGGCAAGGCTGGTTCTGTTCCCTAACTGCCCCCAGCCTGAATTAGAATGCTCCAGGCATGAGCTCAGCCAGCTCCACATCTTGGGGAAAGACCAAGGCCCTGTCTCCCTAGCCAAGTTCTTTTCCCTTTTGATCAGCCTGGGGGAAGAGGGAGTACGTGTGTTTTGGACTTGGGAGTTATGTCTAGGGATTCTTGGATCAGTTTGGACCCTTATATTGACTGTGGACAGAATAAATAATATGCTTCACAATAATGGCCTATTATTTTTCAAATATGTGTAGATGATTCTGTGATGAATAAAACTGAAATAATCATTAAAAGCCTACTTGTAGTCATAATCACTCTCCTGATCATGTGCATTTTTCATTTATTTGGACCTCAGGGACATCAACTGAATTGGTCATAGTTTTTGATTCATGACCCCTTGTCATCATTAGTCCACACGTGGCTTAACTTTGTCCTAACGGTCTTTTCTTTTACAGAAGTTTGTATATAGAAGCAACTGTAATGAGCCTGCCACCCAATTCGAAACTAGATCATTACCAATTACTCATATATTAATCTATATGTACCTTCCCCCGAGGGACATCCTCTTCCATGTTGCATTTATCATTCCCTGACTGTTATTTATCAGTTTTCTCACATGTATATATGTAAACTCTGGTGTGTTTGGTTTTGCTTGTTTTTGAACTTCATGTTAGCCTATATGCATTCTCTTAATGCATATAGACATTAAGAAAGGAGACCACCAGCAGGTAGAGACTTGAGAGATGATTTCTGAGGTCCAACAGGCATCCTAACAGCTCACATGTTCACCACAGGAGCGTGGCTAATGAGGGATGATATGTTCCCACAGTGGCTGCTAGGCAGCGTCACAGCGATGCTGTGGACTAATCTTTAATGACATGGGGAAATGTTCACTCTGAGTTATTAGAGGAAAAGGCAGGTTATAAAACTATGGACACGATCTCTTCCCAGTTTTTTAAAAAGTAAATAACTAACATTAATACAAATTGTAAAAACCCTAAAACAAAATGAGGCTCAATGGCTCCATAAACTCCTAAGGGAGATAAAAACCTTTCTGAGTTGTAGGGTGATGAGCACTTACTGTGTCCTTTGACTCTAAAAAATTCTGCCAAATTTTATGTAAGTAATACAAATGTCTTCTGTCAACAGATGAATAATATTAGAAGTTGAGCAAGGGAAGACTTGGGCTCATAGAGGTCAGTACCCTCCCTGTAGGATTCAGGCAGGGAGGACTGGGTACTGTCAGCTAAGGCAAAGGTCCTATTCCTCCTGCCCGGGGGGAGGGGATGAGAAGGGAAGGCAGGAGAAGTAGTGTGGTGTCCCCTGGTTCATCATTCACCCTTCACCGTCAGCCTCTGAGGTAGACTTAGACCTTATTTCTGATGCTCAGATAGTTTCATATGCTGGAGTTCCAACTTCCAAAACCTCGGAATATCACCTCATTTGAATAAGGGTCTTCAAAGAGGCAATTTAGGGAAAATTAATGTTATTTGATTAGTGGCCCTAGTCCAATATGACTGGTGTCCTTATAAGAAGAGGAGGTTGGGAATAGACACAGAGGGAAGACAGAGAGAAGATGGCCAAAGAGAGCAATCTCAGAAGGAAACCAACTTGGCCTACAATTTGATCTTGGACTTCCAGCCTCTAGAACCATGAGAAAATAAATTTCTATTGGTCAAGCCACCTAGTCTGTGGTACTCTGTGATAGCAGCCCAGGAAATGAATACAGATGGGTTAGGTAACTTCTTCCGGGTCACACAGCTGCTCAGTGGAAGAGCTAGGACCAGAGTTTAGCTCTTGAACCTGAACTCTGGACTCACCAGAGCACAAGTAGTAGAACTTCCCTCTTTGATGACCACTTCAGATTGCATGTGAATACTGGGTCACATGGCTGGCCAGCACCCTTGTCCCTTGAGCCTCAGCAGCAATTCCAAGCCACAGAGCCCCCACAGTCCACCCCAGCCATCCTCTTTCTCACTGCTGTAGTGGACATAGCCCTGGGAAGGCCAAGATGCCAGGTGAGGACCTGCAGACAGCTCTCCAGAGCACAAGAGCCTAGCACATTTCTGAGCTCTGAGGCAGCCACCCCTCACACTGTGAATCAGCCACTGGAAAACCCTGGGGGTCAGAAATAAGGACCCAGATGCCGCTTTGCAAGTTCTTGCCAGGGTGATGTAGCCACGGCAACCAAAATCAGTTTTATACCTTCTGCTGGTCTCCCCTCCATGGGCTCTTGAATGCCAGCCCAGCCAGCTTCCTTTGGGTGCCTAGGAAGGGACAGAGCCAGGAGAAGCCTCCAGCCAAGACCTTTGTAATGACAAAGAGCCTGAGGCTCAGGTGGGGAAAGGGCCTGTCCAAGGACCCCAGCAACATGGAGACCAAGTCAGGACTTGGAGCCTGGGCACCATTCACCACTCCACTGAGCTTTGCCCCCAGGTCACAGGCCCTTTGTCTCCTGAGTCTGCTGTGGCAGAGGAGGAGTGGTCTTGCATACCTGAGAGGTTGGCCAGGGTCACAGCTGTAGTTGCATGGCAGTACTGCTGCAGAAGTACCCCAGGGGCTGGTCTCTGGGCACCTGGCTTGGCCTGGCAGCCTAGGGAACAGCGAGGATGCTGGTCAGAGGTTGGGTCAGAGGTTGGGCCTGGGTGGTCATTTCACTGATAGTACATATCTACTCCCCACCCTGTTCTGTCACTCATTACTCCTCTTACCTCTTATGGTATGCAGGGAAGACTGAGGAAGGAGACACCTAAGGTCACACAGCACAAGAGTGGCTGGCCCAATCTGGAACCCAGACAAAGCTGTAGAAGTGGTACAGTGCAGTGTCACCACTGAGGCACAAATCTGCTCTGCCTGTCCTATTGTCTATCTTCTCTCCACAGCAGTATGTGCCCCTGGGATAGGCCTGTGTCCTTTCACCAAAGCCAGTTTGGGGTGTCCGCCAGTCGCTCATACCCCAACAAATGTTTGCTGAACACCTACTGTGTGTTGGGGCCCTGGCCAGGGAGCCATGTGGGTGTCTTTAGGATGTTGCAGATAGGGATCTCCTAGGCTTAGAAGGACCAGAGGGAGGAGAGGGGCACATGACTTAACTTTTCTGTCACACAGATAAACAGGCAGTGACACTCTAGGGTATAATGCAGGACTTGGGGGCAACTGGAAAGATGTGTAGGGACAAGGGAAGGAACAACAACATCAGTTCAGGCATTCTCCTGGGAGTAGATGTGATTGTTTCAATAGTTGCAATCCAAGAGCCTCCCAAGACTCCATCTCCCCAAAAGCCTCAGCGTGGGTGCTTGGCATGGAGAGAAAAAGTCAATGTGGTCATGTCTGCCCTTGAGGGGACAACCTTCTTGTAGGAAGGATGGACTGAAGGGAGCTTTATTTAGGGGAGCCAGTGTAGCATCACACAGAGGGCATGCTGAGGTGGCTTTGAAGTATGAGTAGGCGTTTTGCCCACCTGATAAGGGCCTCCTACACATGCACTGTGTAAGACTGACTAAGAACAAAGCCCCCTAAAATTCTAGCCTTTGTCCCCAGTTCCTCCTGAGATCACAATTTCTTCTATTTTGTGACCAGTGCACATGTGAGTGTGTGCACTTGTGAGTTTGTGTATGAGATGACTTTTGGGCCCCTCCCAACTCTGACTTCAGATTCTAGGATTCCACCAGCAGGCATTCCTCCTCTTTCTCCAGCCTGCTTGGCAGCTGGACCAATGTTTGTCCTAGGATGTCCCTCAAACATCTGGGACCCTCAAACATCACGTTCCCCACATCCAGTTCAATCCATTTCCTGTCTTGGGGCTGGAGGTCGCATGCTCAGCCTTACCAAGCTGGCTGGCCTGGACCTTCATTAATGACCGCATCTAGTCAGCTGGAGAGCACTGACTGCCTCCCTTCCTGGGAGCCTGGGGTGGGACAGATGGAATTCAGCCGTCAGTGCACCTGTGTACAGGCTCCAGAGACAGCATCAACTGAGGGAATGGCCTCAGACAGGCACAGAGACAGCATCCCAGATGCCAGCTCCTTCTCCCAAAGACCCCAGCTACAACATCTGGGGTCTCACCACTCAGGTGGTCTCTGCTTGTGGCCAGACACTTACTGTGAGTCCCTGGGGAGCAGGGTGTGAGCACCTTCCCCAGAACTCAGGTGACGTGGTTTATCCTTGTCTCAGACACTGTCAGGTCTGCTCATTGAGCAAAGCACGTTGTGTGTGTTGTGTGTGTGTGTCGGCGGGCTGGGGAGTAAAGGAACACCATGCTGCTCCGGCCTGGAAAAAAAACAAAGGAGCAGCCTAGAAGTGGGCTCTGGATCAGCTCCCAGATCTTGGCTCTATCTCCTATAACTTCTCCCTCTACTGGTTCAAAAAGCTGGCACAGGCAAAGATCTCTTTCAAGGACTGGTTGAGTGGATTTGACTCATTGTAAATCCACAACATATCCTGTGGGTGCCTATTTTGGGCAGAGCCCCGGTGATGGTGGAGACACTGGCAGGGGCACATCACAAATAGTCCCATTCCAAGACCATAAGATGAGCTCTCACAGGGGGAGGAGGGCAGACATTCCTGCCTTCAGGGTTCTGGGATGCTGCTGTGTGGCACTGGCAAAGTTTCTTAACTTCTCTGGGCCTTAGTCTCCTCATCTTTAAGCACCCTCTTATGGATTCAGGGCCTCAGAAGAGGTGGCCTTCACCTCCCTGCCTGGACTCAGCCCACAGCAGTATGCAGTGAATGCTTTTGTTGTCAACAACACTGAGGGCTCTACAGAGGACTGTGTTCATAGCTGAGTTCAAAAGGAGGAAGGATTGGGGCCATGGAAGGATGGAGGGTAAAGAGAGAAAGTAACCCAGAGCAGGAGTAATGTGAGCAAAGGCTTCCAGGTGGAAAGGCACAGAGCCATCTTGGGGGCAGCAGAATCTGGTTTGGGGGTGCTAGGGAAAGAGTAGGGCAGGCAAGAATGGGATGCTTTTGTATGAAATCAGTGCTTACCGTGTGCTAGATTTAGCTCTAAATGCTTTACATGGAACAACTCATTGACTTCTAGACAGTCTCTATGGCAGCTGCACCAGAGGATCAGAGAGGTGAAGTTACCTCCTAAGGCCACACAGGAAAGGGACTGGGGCAGGATTCAAACCCAGACAGCCTGATGAGCTATGACTTGGTCTGATGCACATGGGAAGAGCTGGTCCTGGGTCAGGAAGTGAAGATCTGAGGTGCATGGAGGTTGGGAGAACCTCAGCCCCAAATGGGGTGGCACTCTGGTGCCTGTAAGTAAGAAGTCCTCTGTGGCCTGGAGGAGCAGAGTAGGGTGTAAGGGCCTTGCAGGCAGAGAACCGGGCCATATGAGGCAGACACAGCCAGCCACCAAGGTCTCAATATACCCTGTACCCTGGACCCTGTAGGTGCCATATGCTATTGGGATAGAAAAAGCAATCTGCATTTGGTCTTAGTCCCTGGGTTCTGACATAGAGTCCCTGGAAGCCCTCATACCGTCCTGTGTGGTAGGTGTGTGCTTCCTCTAAAGAACAACCCTGTGGGGCTGAGCCTCTGCCTATGGAGACTGTAATACCTTGGTGGAGAGAGGGTCAGAGCGGAATTGAGTTATAGGACAACCAGTCAGTGTAACCAAGGAATTGTAGACCTGCTTGGTATGTAGAGAACAGTGTTTTCCTTTGTCCAGCACTCTATTCTAATGGGGACATCTTGGACTTCTATATTGATTGGCTAGTAGCTGTCCCAGGGACGGGGAGCAGTCCCCCCATTCCTGCACCTGCCCCATGAAACTGATTGTCCACGTCTGTGTCCATATTTCCAGTCCAGGGCCTGGCACACAGCAAATACTCACCAAATGTTTGTTGACTGACTCACTGACTGGATAGATAATGAGCTCTCAGCCAGGTAGAGGAACTGTCTACCTCCAATGCTGGGAGCTCCAGTTCTGGGCTTTTCCTGCCTACCAGATTTCCTTTGCTCTGAATTTTGGCTTTGAGGCTGGCTTCTATGAGGGCCCGGGTCCCATTTCTGACTTGAGTGTGCTGGGAATAGGAAGTCTGGACTGGGAGGAGGTGGCAGGTTGGGGCCAAGACTCCAGCTGCTCTTCCTCTACCTTGGGCTCTATCTAAGCAGAACCCGTGTCCCAGGGGCAAGACTAGACCAATAGGTGCCCACTTCACAGGAGCCAGGGAGGCTGCACTAGCCAAGTGTTCCCTCCTGAGCCTGGCAACAAGCTTCTGTCTATATTTAGCCCTTGGTCTAAGCTGGGGAGATTTACAGGATCTCAGGTCTTGGGCCCAGGCTGACTCCTTTCCCTGCTGCCCAAGGTCAGGGAAGGACATGGTGAAGAAAACTCCTCCCCATGTCTGCTTTCATTCAGTGGTGTTCATTGAGCAGGACTCAAAGAGGGAGGGGGAGGAGAAAGAAGAAAGAGGGGAAAGGAAGGGAAGAGAGGGAAAGAAGGAGGAAGAAAGAAGGAGAGGAAAAGGATGGGGGAGAAGGAGAAGAGAGGGAATGAAGGACAGAGGAGGGGGAGATAAGGAGAAAGGAAGGTGTGAAGCATTGTCTGGGTTCCCACACAGAGGTGGCAGGAAGGGAGCTGAGCCTGTTGAGGAAAGGGTGAAGGACTAGAAGTCACAGGAAGGAAGTAGGCAATTATTTCCTGGAGTGTCTGAGCCTATTTCCTTTTAATTTATGTGAGACCTTGAATGAGGGCCCCAAGACTCCAGGCAGCCTCTAGTGGCCTTTCCACCCCAGGTTGTTGCTCTAACAGGTCCCTCTTCCTAGAAACTAGGAAGTCCCTCTCTTCCTTCCTTTCCTTCTGGTCTCAGGGAGCTTGTGACCTCTCTCTTCTTTGCTCCTCTCCCTTACCTGAGCCCTGAGCACAGAAGTCCAGGGAGGAGGGAGGAGAAGAAGGGGCAGAGAGAGGAAGTTCCTTGGCCCACTAAGGCGGAGGGAGCTGGCCAGCAGGAGGCTCTAGAACAAGTCACTTGGTCTAAAAGCATCTCCCTAAGTATCAATTCATCTAACCTCCACTTTGCCTAATAGTCATCCTTCTCATTTGTTTTGGTGTCTTTTTGAAGGTCCTACAAATAGCCTGACATTAAAATCAAGTTTTTGTTAAGGGAAGAGACTCTGGAGTCTGCTGCCTAACCTGGGCCAGGCATCTTGGCTCTACCCTTTAAGCATCACTGGGCCTGAGACCTCACCTCAGCTTCCTCATCTGACGAGTAGGTAAGGATGGTGTTATCTCCTTGGGTTGTTGTGAAGTTTCAAAGACTGAAGCATGACAGTGCCTAGAATGGTCTGAGCACATCATGTTGGCCAGCAGATGGGATAATCTCTCCTGCCCGCCCCTCCAAAGAAAAGAAAACACAGAGCTGAAATGACTTCTTTAAAAATTAGGATTTTAAATAAGGTGACTTTGGACAAAGTGACTGAGGAGTGCTTAAAATGTTTACAGTTAGATAATGTAGAAAACGACAGTGAGGAGGATACAGATAAGTCCTGTCATTTATAAAACTCTGCAAATACAACACTTCCCAGGAATATCCAACTAAGTAGGCAGTATCCTCAGACAAATTGCTTAAAAACAAAAGAACTTAGAACATCGACAAGACGGCAAAAACATAGACTAAATTAGCTGATTGGGTTAGAAAACACTCAGAAGGGAGTTGAATTTTAGGGAAAAGTCATTAGATGAATTAGCTTCTGGCAAATGGCCTGGAGCGGGCCCTGCAGCCCTGCCTATGTGTGTTGGGGGAAGGGTGGAGGGTGCCACGCATGCACTTGGTCTTTGGAGAGGGATGGGCGGGTTTGGGATAGTTCAGTCTCCTGATGGTTGGGGACATCCTTGTGTTCTCCCTTTGCTGAGTCTTGTCTGGGCAGATGGCCTTCTCAGAAACCAGGACTCAGGCAAGTATCCACAGAGCCCTGTCCTGAAAACCTGGGGGACAGTATTCCTTCCCAAGATGAGTGGCATATAGGATCTTCACAGAGGGCAGACAAGTGGCTTAAAAGGTTAGCCTCAAGGCTTTAGATATATGAGTTAAATATTCCTCATGTGAAATGCTTGGGACCAAAAATGTTTCAGATTTTGAAAATATTTTCATAGAATTTACTGGTTAAGCATCCCTAATCCAAGACTTTGAATTTCAAAACAAAAGTTTTGCTTAAAAAGGTTTGTATTTTGGAGCATTTTGTCTGTATAGCCTAACCTCTCTGCAATTCCATTTCCGACTGTGTATCACCTTCCCATGATGAGTAAGTGCTTAGCAACAGGTTCAAGGCTCCCCACATTCCTCCAGGCTCTGGGGGTGTGGGCTGGGCCCCAGGGTCCTCTCCTCTCTCCGATTGCAGCTGGAGCTTTCCCAGTACAAAAACAGATGGGGTCTTTCCCCATACCCCGGGAACTCTCATTCTACCCCCACGGCTCTCTTCTAGGGTTGGGGCCCCAGGCCTGACTCCTGCCCACTTCTCCCCCAACCCTCCTCTTGGATACCACCTGCACTCTGCGGATCTGCCGCCTCCCACCAGACTCTTCCACTTCCTGTCAGGGACTCGTACCTTTAGACTCTTTTTTTAAATCCAATTTGCGGTCTGTAGATAAACACTATTTCTTTGCCATCCTTCCTGCCAAGTCTCCTGGGCCATGAACTCCATGATGGCAGAAGCCACAGGTGGGTTTCAGCAGCCTGCATCCTCACTCTGTGTGGCCCTTGTTAACAGCTGGTTGGATAAGTGAAAGGGCAGGGAACCAGCTCCCTCCTGGGATGCTTTCCCTCCTCACTGCCTGCTCAGGTCTCATGTTCTCATTTCCCAGCGCACAGAAATCTCAGAATAGCTGGCTAAGGACCCAGAAGTAAATCCTATTGCTGTGAAGGCCCAGGGCGAGGAAGGCTGGCTTTGGGGGTCAGAAAGACCAAGGTGTTTATTCCCCAGCTGCTTCCATGCTGAATAGCTCCAGAAAGGAGCTAGTTTCTATCACAGTCTGGGCTATCAGGAAAGGTAGGACAGGGCCTGGGTTGACCTGAGGGAAGTTGAACCCCCAGGGTCACCTCTGAGTTCTCTGGTTCTGACATTCCAGAACCCAGCTCACCCTTCCTTACATCCTCTGCTCTGCTGGGTTCTGGAGCAACAACAGGAAGCTCTAATCATCTTCAGCTGCAGGCAGCATGGCCCCCAGGGAGAACGGCTGAGGGCACCCCTGGCCCCAACCTCAGATTTTTGTCCTGAGAACTCGTGGGGGAGGGCAGAAAGCTTGAAGCATGGGAGGTCTGGGGTGCAGGGGTGGACCTCATCATCTCCATCTTCCTGCTCCAAACGAAGTCTGCAGTGGTGCTTAAAGGACCTGGCTGGTTTAGGAGCCATCTGCCCATTGGTGCACTGGCTTTGCCTCAGCATGGTACCCATCTCCCAGCCTTGGCCCAGGTGTCTTTATACCTGACACTCACCACAGATGGCATTTCTTGAGTGCTGTGCTGTGCTGTGCTGTGGGCTTTGCTTGTATTCCTCATGACAATCTATTCAGGAAGCACTCATGGCATCCTCCATTTACCCACAAGGAGACTGAAATTTGAGTAGCCTGTCTCAGGTCGCACATTAGGCAGGAAAGCAGGGACTTGGATGGGTACTGTCGGCCACTTTGCCTCAGTCAGTGAATGCTCACTACATGTCTGTTGAACAACTGTTTGAATGAAATGGCCCTCCTGTACATTTAGGACCACTGAGGCATAGGACACTGGTCCTACAGCTGATCTGTGGCAATCAGGATAGGGACAGGTCTCCTGGCCCCTCTTGGCCTTTGGGACTGTTTCATTGTTGTAGGTTTTCATGAGAAGGGTGGCGTCAGGCAGCTCACCCTGCTCTCTGAGACTCAGTTTTCCCATCTGCAAAGTAGGGAAAGGGGTAAAGGTAGATACCTCCATACCTGCTTCTGGGAATCACTCCCTCCTGTTTCACCCCAATTCCTCAGCTCTTTCTTTCTAGTTGCCCTCCATCCCTTTGCCCCAACTCCACAGCAGATCCTAACTTGAGCTCTCTGGCTGTGGCTCATTGGGTACTGGGGTCTGCCTGGTGTCAGAGGAGGGGTGCAGACAGGTAGCATTGTTGGTGGGGGGAGAGGGAGAGGTAGTTCTCTGGTGGTTTTCTGGTGAAAGGGTGGAGAAGAGAACAAAGAATCCCACAGGGGGAGAAGTGGGGGGCATGGTGGAAGGGAGAGAACAGCGGATTTTTAGTCTTGAGGAAGCGTAGGTCTGGCACTTGGATGTCACCCCAGACCTCTAAGAGCCTCCCTGTCCCATCCTAGCTGGGGTTTCATTGCCCCTCCACCTGCCTCTCACCCAGGCATGGCATCTCCCTCTCATCACCCAGCTACCAACCCTGACTTCCCCTAAGCCCGGTCGGTCAGAAGAACACTGAGGTCCCAGAACCGATGTCCCCCCACCGTGCCCACCCTCTCCCTGCACTTACTTGGAGCAGCGGGAGCAGGCAGAGGAGGACCAATGGGACGTGGAGGAAGGCTGAGGGCCCCGCGGGACACCCCATGCCGTGGCTAGGGGCTGGGGACCAAAACTCCTGCCCAGCGCAGCAGGTCCACCCGCCAGCCCCTCCCCAAGACCTGTCCCGCCCACTGCCCGGAGGCTAAGGTAAGGTCCTGGGCACCCGGGGCATTCTCGGCCGCCTCCCCCAGGGCAGCGGTGACACCGCCGCAGCCCGCCCCCTGGGTTATTTATAGCTGGTACTGGGCAGCAGCTTCCGCCTGGCTGCCAGGGGCCAACTCCCCTCCAGCCCGCGGAGCAGGTTTCCCCGCCAACACTGCAGGGCTGGGGTTAGGCTTACCCTGAGCCTCAAGGTGGTAATGGAGAAAGAGAGGAGGGGCCTCAAGCTGTGGTCCCGGCGTGAGAGCAGGCGAGGACTGCTAGGGGGGCTTCTGGACCAGCACGTCACAAAGCGGCGGGCAGATTCCAAAGATGCGGCCCAAGCATAGTGATTTCAATGAGGATGCCATGCAAATTTCAGTTATTAGTGAACCTGGGCAAAGGGCGCACATACATTTTAAATTATATCTAAATTAAAAAAACAAGTAAACAAACAAAACAAAGCCCCAAAGCAATGACAGCTGGGGGCTGCAGCCAGAGATTCTGACCACTGCAGAGATTGGGATGGGGCCCAGGGGTCCTAGCATCAGGCAGGGTTGAGGAGCGCTGCTGTCAGGTGGGATAGGTGTAACTCTTCCTGGAGCCAGAAAGCAGCCTCAGAAGCTGCTTCTGATTGTGTGTGGGGGAGGTGGGGTTTGGGGGAGCAGTTAATAGCTTAAGCAGCAGCCCTGTTCAGGATCTAAGGGGAAAGCATTCCAGGAATGGGATTAAGCAGACCTGAGTTTTTCCTGGAGGTGCAGGCTGGGTGGTAGAGGCTTTGGAGAACTCAGACACTGCATGCTTCCCCTGATCTCCCTGCCAGGGCATTGTTCTGTCTTTCAGAGCCTCTTCTCTTCTACCCCTTCCTCCAGGCAGCTTTCCTGACTGCTCCAAACACCCACTTCCCTCTCTTCTGAAATCTCACAGGCCTGATTCTGATGTCCCATCTCTCACCAGTTTAGATGGTTCTCTAATCCCCCTCTGCACATGAGTAGGGATGGGCCCTACCTTCCTCTTCCGGTGCTTCTTCCCCCTTCTCTCCTCTTTGGCACATCTTGGCCCCAGTGGTTGGTGCAGGGGAATGTTTGAGGGGAAAACTGGGGAAGAACTGACCAGATCTTCCTGTTTGAAGGTGAAGGGTGGAAATCCCTCCCAAAGTATTGGGACAGGAAATGGCTTTTCCAAGCCCAACCAAATGGGTTGGTCAAAGAGGGCTCCTGTAGGAGGCTCAGGAGGACCTGGAGGGGTGGGTAGGCTGGGGAAACTGGTGATAGGCCAGCAGGAGGTTGGCAGGGCATCATGAGCAAAGGCCTTGCTCTCAAGTCCAACAGCACAGCCTGCAGGGGGCATGGGAAGAAGGTAAGGTAAGATAAGATTACTGAAGGGAACATGGTAGATCATAGCCTAGGTGACTGATTGGAGGTGAGATATAGCATGGGTGCTGGGCACCTCATTAGGTCCCCCTCATCAGAGGATGAGGTAGGGGACTTTCTGGGGAAGGGATTATAGAAGCACCTTGAAGGGCTCAGACTGATGGAGAAGGGGAGATCTCCACTCCAGCCAGAGGAGTCAAGGTAGGCAGTGGAGAGTAGCTGGTACAGAATGGCTTTGCTGGGGCTTGTGGAAGGTGGAGACAGTATGGGCCCGGAGAGCGGGAGGAGGACTGGAAGGAAGCTTCATTCCCTATATCTATGGGCGGATCTATGGTTATATTCTGTGTGCCTGTTTCAGGCAGCTTGGCTGCTCTAAAAAAATACTGTATGCTGAGTGGTTTAAGCAACAACTTTTATTTATTTTTGCTGGGGCTGGAAGTCTGAGATCAGATCACTTGACAGCATTATTGGGTGCCAATAATGGCCCTTTTGGTAGGCAAATGGCTGCCTTCTTGCTGTGTCCTCACATAGCAGAGAGGGAGCTTCTTCCCCTTCTTATAAGGCCACTGATCCTGTCATGAAAGCTCTACCCTCATGATGTCATCTACCTCCAGACACCTCCACATCCCATCATACTAGAGGTAAGGGCATCAGCAAATGAATTTGAGGACAGGGGGACAGAAACACTCAGACCTTAACTGTGTCCTTCCCCTGCTTTCTTTGGTTTTCTAAATAGATTTCCTCACCTCACTTGGAACTGTCTTTGGAGAGGCATCTCAGGAAATTGATTTACGTTTTGCCCAGTTGGGATCCCAAAGTACCCAGGACTCCATGTCTTCCCAATCCCCAAGGGCATCCTGACTATTGCTGATTGGTGCCTCTTTGCCTAGAAGTGGAATGATCCATGAAGTAATTGACACTCAGCTTCTTGAGGGACCACATTGAGGTTGGGACTTTGCCCTAGGATTTCTTTGTCCTCTGTTCCACTTTGTCCCTCTCCCTGCTTTCTCTTGGGAACACTTCCTTTACATTTCACTGCTCAGAACTCATCTCACCTGGGAACTGATCCTGGGGAGCCTGTATGGTCAGAAAGCAGACAATAGAACCAGCAATAGAAAACCAATGACCTTGTCTTCTCCATCTTCCCAACTTGCTATGTAAAGCAAAGCAACAGAAAGCACTAGATTGAACTTGGCATCCCAAGATGCAGGAGGGGTAGAGGGTTAGGGTCTATGCTCTAGAAGGAAAAGGAATGAGAAAAGGGGACAGAGACTTGGGCATAGGCCAGCTTTAAGGAGGAATGGGCAGCAGAGCTCCGCCATGGTGACCAGCAGTCAATGACTCTGAGCAACAGGGCTGTAATTATCAGAAAGAGCCCCTGATACCCAGTGTCCTGCATCTGTGGTGCTTGGGGCATGAGGAGGGGACATGTCCACAGGAGGATTAAGGCAGCCTCCTTTTATATTTCTCTTCTTAATTGCCTTCTCTCCCCCCATGACATTTTAATAGCATATTTGTGTTGCATACCGTTGCGTTTGTACTGTCTAAGATTGTTCAGCTTCCTGAGAATCTATTCTGCGTGCCTGGGAGTGCATGCTCTACTCCAACCACGTGATTTTATTGACAATTGACTGCTGTGGACTGGCCCAGAGAAACGGACTAGGCTGGATGAAGGAGAGGGCCTCATCCCAGACCATACTTGCTTGGTAGAGAAATAGACAGCTGATCTGAAATCACCCCAAGCCTTCCTTTGAGACTTCAAAACTGTGCTCCAAAGAGAGTCTGTTCCTCTCTCATGGAAAAACAGAGAGATGTCAGGTGCAGTGGTTGTGTGGTGAGCCAAGTCAAGAATGTGAACTTCTACATAGAGGGGAGCAGAAGAGAGGAGAGAAGGGCCTGGTGGTCTTTGAGCGTCTGGTTCCTAGAAATCAGCCCTGTACCTCTAGTTTGGAGTTTTACCTCTAGTAATGGAGTTCTCCAATGTGTCTTCCCTTCCCCATGGTCTAGTTTGAGGTAAGCTTCTGCTGCTCATTATCTAATGAATTGTGACCTACACAGACTGGATCAGGAATTGAGCAGTTATAGAATTCAGTAAAAGATGTCCAGGAAAATGTCAGACACCCTATCTGCATGTCTGGGAACCTTCACTGTTGTGGAAAGTCTAGACTTTCTGTAAATTTAGGAGATACGGGTGGTTGGGTTAGTGCATGTGGCTATGAAAGGAAAGGGTGACTTTGAAAGGCTGGAGAACTTGGGGACATTTGAGTTACATGTATCTGAGTAGGAGAGAGTCAGGATTCTCAGAAGGCTGGCTTGGGCAGCTAGACACTCTTGGGGTGGAGGTAGAGTCTGGAGCTAAGAAGGCAGAGAGGGCTGGAATAGCAGTACAGGCAAGAGATAAGATGGTCCTCTCAGTCCAGGGAGGAGTTGCAGGACAGGCAGGGGATTCTATGAGCCAAAACACCCACCTTGCCTTTCCCTGGCCCTGCAAGGCCACCACACTGACCCCAGCTCTCTCTCTAGGGCTGAGCAGTCTCAGCCCCAGTGCTATAACACATGAAGGTCCTCAAGTCATACGGAGGGATCCCTTCTCGTGTGACCAGGTGTCCACGGTATATGGTGCTATCATTTTAGGTGGGGAGGTCACACCAATTTAGCTTCAGGGTGCAGAGTTCAGTTTTGCTATGCAACTTTGGAACAGAATTCTACAGCATTGTTCAAAGAATAGGCATTGATTTTGCTCCTATTTTATTTTTTTCTCCTGGGTTCCATGGAATGTTGCTTTGATCTCCTCACTTACCAAAAAAAAAAAAAAAAAAAAAAACATAGTTCAGGAGGCCAGGTCCAAGCATGAGTTATGGTGTAATTCTGTTGTCATTCATCTCTAAAGAAAAACAAGTCATCACACTTGATTAATAGAGATTAGGTCAGCTCTAGAGGAGGAATTTCTACCTGCTCACAAAAGAGCCTTGAACTTTGTGCCTGAGAACAGCTGCGGGGCTTGTATGTCCCAGGATGGTTTGGACTCTGGTGCCGAGTGGCACTTGGGCCTGGTTCCAGTTGTCCTCTCTGTGGCTTCGCAGCTGTCCTCTTGTACTGCATGGAGACTCCTCCCACGAGCAGGCACCATGGGCTGGGCTAGACAGAAGTCCATGCAGGGGACTCCAAGAGTGGTGTAGGACAGGCTGCTGCTGGCCCCGGGGTAGAGGTGGCCTGGAAGGACCTCTGAGGCCTGTGCTGTGGGGCCTGCCTCTGCCTTACTCCAGTAGTCACCCTTTGTGACCTGTGGAGCATGTCTTCCTCCCTGCATCCTTTTCCCCTGCCTGTAAAATAAATTAAGAACACCTCTCAGGGAAGACCGCTGTGAAGATGAATGCAGATAGAGCCTGTGTGAACAACCACTGCTGAGAAATGTGAGGCGGTGTCATTTTACAATTATGCATCACTTAACAATGGGGACAGATAGGTGACTTCATCATGCAGACCCCATAAAGTATACTTACACAAACTAAGTTGGCCACAGTGTCACTAGGTGATACAACAACATGCTATCTGTCCTTGACTGAAACATCATTACATAGAGTGTGTCTGTATTTTGTTTCTTTCAGTTCAAAGTCAATAAACACTGTAAGACCTCAGGAAAGGTATGATCA